CAGGAAACAAACGGCAAAGCAAAAGCCTGGATTTTTGTCATTTTTATCGCTTCGGCGCAAATAAACCTCTCCCAAGCGCTGACTTGCAGCAGGGAAAGCAGGAGCATCACTAGGTATCGTAGGTGTTTTCCTCACCTGCGAAACAACAAGGATCCACACAAACCAAGGATTCACTGGGTCCAGCTCCCAGTGAAGAGCAAACCAGTAACTGCTCAGCATCCTTCACTGGACCCTCACGAAAGGGCCAGGATGCCACATACAGCCCACAACTCTGCAGGTCATTCACAAGGCGTAGAGAGATCTTTTCTCTCCACTGACAGATCAGAATAAGTGCTCTTAATGGAGAAAATAAATGGAGAAATTTAAAAAACAACCTGGAGCGCCCAAGTATAGTAAGTGCGGCACATCTTTAACACCAGTAAAACACCCAAAGACTGCCAGGAAGAAAAAGGGTGAAAGGAAGACCCATTCCAACCGGGCAATAAACCAGCGCCAGACCCCAAGGCTTGCAAGAGGCTGCGCCGCGTCGCCGGCCAGAGGATGACAAGAGAGCCCAGCAAAAAGGGCTCATTCATCCCCCCCGGGTCTGAGCCAACGGCCAGGGAGGGCTGGGGATCGGGGAAACGAGCAGCAGCAGGTTGGGCAGAGGCAGGATTCTGCGCACGGCTTTTGTTGAGCCTTGAAATGAATCAGCATCCACCGCCTCGGCTCCCCCTTGTCCCTCCCTGGCGGGCGTTGCGGGGCTCACCCCTTTTTATCTACCCCCTGTTGTGTTTCCCTTTGCTTTCCTCCACATCCTCATCTATTAAAGAGGGAGAGGATGGACGGTCCGGTCCAGGAGAACCGCTGGAGAAGTCCTGCTGGCTCTGGCAGATGTGAGTGCCCTGTGAAAAGACGCCCATTCATCTCTCGGAGAGCGTGCGGGGGAGGCGGCAGCAGCGCAGGGGAGGGGGGGAAGTGTTGGAGGAGGCTGAGAAAAGGAAGGAGGCCGCAGTTAAAAATAGGATAAAAGGACATGAAAAAAAAAAAAAAAAAAAAGGACAAAAAAAAAAAAAAAAAAAAGCAAATTTTTTTTTTTTTTTTTTTTTTTTTTTTTAAAGCTTCGCTTGGAAAATGTGCTGCAGCTGGAGAAGCCATCGGGCTGAGCCTGGTCAGCTTTCACCTTCCCTCCCCCTCGCCCCCCCTCCTCCTCCCCAAGCCCCCTTTCCTCCGAGCGTGGACCTGGAAGACGGCCCAGAAACCGCTCACAGAAAGAGCTTTCCTCCGGGGATCTCCACCACGGAAAGAGCAGGTCTCGCGGCGAAGGAGGGGGGCAACGTGGGGAAAAGCAGGGAGAGTTCGCCACGGAGGCCGGCGGATCCCATGAGACCCCTGCCTGCAGTCCAGGCTCGGAGGAAGATTACAGAATTATCTTAGTGGGGGCAAAAGGAGGGCATCCCCATTTTGTGGACGTGGGGCAACGTAGCACGTTGCAATGTGTTTCTCCAGCTCCAAGGGTTTTGCTTTCCTGCCATGGCCTAAACTGAGGGGACCCCGTGTCCATGAAGGACCATGGGGTTGGATGCAGGTTGGCTGCGTTAGGGACGCGCCACCCCCAAAGCTAATAAAGCCAAAATATTCTGGGCTGAGAGGTGGCAGCAAGTCAATGAGGCCAGAAAGCACCAGCCACAGACTGGGTAAGGCTGGTCTTTGCGCCTTGCCCTCCCATGGCACTGCCTGAACCCCGTTGGGTGCTGGGGATGAGCCCAAGGTGATGCCTTTTACTTGTGACAGCGTCTCGGTGCAAGAAGCCTGACCAAAATCAGCAGGATTGCTTTCAGAAGCTGAGTCAGTCCTGCAGCTCTTAATTTCTCCTCTAGAAAAGGCTTTCACTTCATTTCTTGCCTTGCAAAATCCCAAAGACACTCCCTCAAATGCTCCCAAAGTGCTGGGAGCACCTTCAGTCCAAGGGTGCCAATTCAGCACAACAGTCGTAGAAACTTCTCCAAGCCAGAGTCATTTCATCCCTCACTTGCCATTAACAACAGCTTTATCTCCCCTATCACTAAGGAAAACAAACCCACTCAGAGTGGAAGGGGCTGTCAAAGTGGCCTTGGCTCCAAAAGGCAGCGCCGCCAGGACTGTGTCCGTGCTGAAATTGCAATACTGCTATCAAATCTTTTCCCCCGTTCCGCTTTTGTGCCTAACCTTGTCTCGGCCAAAAAGGATACTATTACCTTAGGAATTAAACACACGGCGCTCAGCGTGGCTTTCAGCATCCTTTCAGCAAAGCTTGCTGTCTCGGGCAGACACGTGGCACCCATAATTTTGGCCACCAGATGGTTCAGCCGAGGTGCAATGGCCTCCACGCTCCTCTTCCCACCCCTCCAAGGAGCAGGGGTAGTTTTCATGAACAGGCAGCAGCTCCCTTCTCGCTGGTTGTTTTCTAGCACCTCTGGGATGTGCCCTTTGTGGGCTGCAGACCCCGTTTAGGTCAATTCTCTGGACGGTGATAGTCCCAACATATGCACTGGAGATCGTGGTAGCAAGCTAACAAATAAAACTGACTCCATACCATTTCCAAATTTTTGCTTTTTTAAAGAAAAACCAAAAAAACCATCACCTTCTTGTCTCAATCAACAAGCTAAATCCACATCAGGCTTTCCTTTATCCGTATCACTGAATAATCTAATCGGATGTCAAGCACAATGTAAATAAACTCACCCAAGCTTCAAAGGCAAAATATCTTCTCTAAGCGCAAGCAGCTCTAAAACTTACAGAAATGCTGTGGGTTTCTATTGCAAGAGGATATATTCACACTTGCATTTTCCTTGTTGACTTGTTTCTTTCACCAACATCAAGACCATGAAAACCAAAATAGCCTCTAGTACACCAGAAGAATAGATGACAAATGGTTTTAATGTGCACCCGAAACACAAAGGAGAAATGAAAGACCGTTCCTGGCGGTATATACAAATAAGAGTTTCCTCTCATTTAAATTTAGCAACTGCTCTAGACTGAAGAAACACCAGTATTTAAAAAAAAAATAAAAATCAGAGAAAGAGCACTTTGCACTGTAACAGGAAGAACTGAAAAGTAATTCTTAGTTATTGCAAGAGAATTGGAGGCCTGTCCTGCCTGTCCCAAAGTACTGAAAGTTTGATCGAAACCTGTTGGAGACAACGACAGCTTTTTTTGTTGGTTTTTTTTTACTGGCTTTGCTGAGGTTTGAACCAGGCTCCAGTCTCTGCAATGAGAAATTTCACAGACCCAGCATGGGGTAATGAAGATCTGGGTTGCAGATATGTTGGTCCCTGGAGAGAGCACTTTCACAGAAAAGGGGAGAGGGTAGGGAAAAAAAAACACAAAGAAAACTTTCCAGGCACAGATTTGCAAAATGTTTGAGTAAATCCAAATGCTGCAAGGGCAGATTTCATCAGAGCAGAGTTGACATCATGCTGAGAGAGGTCACCCACAGGAGTTGAGCAAATAGCTTGAAATAAGAACGGCTGGGAATATGCAGCAGAAGTTTCACTCCAGCCACAGGCGCAGCGCTCTGTGTCCATCTCCTGCTCACACACGAGTGCTCACCAAAGGAGAAAAAGAAAAAAAAAATCAAAATGCCTGAATATTTGCCAAGGAGAGATTTGGAACTGTACATCTGACCGCAGCAGTTGCTGGTTCTGCTGAACTCTTTAGCTGCAAAAACGTCTCTAAACATCAGGACTTTTCCCCTCCCAAGAGGCCAATGTGCATAACTAACGAGCCGGGAACAAGTCACAGAAGACCAACACATGCCATGCAAAAGCTTACATGGGATTTAAGTGCTTCATGATAGGCTTATGTGGGACTTAAGTGAAACATAAACTTCATATTGGCCCTTTGCAAAGGTCACATTCGTGCAACTCGAGCTCTTTCTTGAGTTCCTGTGGTTGGCCTGTGCTATGGCGTACCTGAGCCCTCTCCTGCCGCAGCTCAGCCGGGCTCTTTGGTGGTGCCTCATCACCCGTCCCGCAGGCAGGAGGACCAACTTGCCGCCCCACATCTGCCCTGCCCGTCGGTTATACAAGACACAGCCCAAACTGCAAGCTCAGATCGAGCATTCACGGGTTGAACAACGTGCAGGGCAAGAATTAGTCACCAGCGATTTTGTAACGACTTTCAAATTATGAATGCATTAGAGAAGATGATCATCTCGTCCAAGTCAGTGAACTGCTTTAGCCGTGCAACACACTGCAACCGCACAGCCCTGACAGCACAGCGTGACCATGCATCTCCAGCTGTGCTTGCCTGAAGACCATGCCACTGCCCTCCCAAGGAGGGAGGTGATGAGCAACAAGACTCAGACCTCTCCAGCTCCTTGTGAGCCTCCATGAAGGCCACATCGCCTTACCAAAGCCACCAACAAGGACATCAGTCCTGCACACGCCATGAGAAATGCTGAAGAAGCAACCAGCAGGTCGGCAGGTCCACCTTGCCCATGGTATCCTCCTGCAGACCCCCATGTCTGTCAGCCCCCCAGGGAGCAGTAACCATGGCTGCACTCCCTAAATGCAAGGGAGGGACTTGCATTTGATGATTTTTTTTTTTTTTTTTTTATGTCCTGGACATCAAAATCACCACCCAAAAAGAGGAGAGGGCTACTCCCAGCCAGGCACCCATGCCATGGTGGAGAAGAAGGAAGCTCCTGTCCTTCAGCATCACTCAGATAGGAGGACAAGAGTTAAACAAAGCAGGTTTAAGGTTTTTATCTGCTTTCTGGCCCCATCGCCATTGAGGGAGACTCTTGAGGGAGGTACCAACCTGGTGATGCTGTGGTAGGTGCCCTTTGGCTGCACCAAGGGCAAAACACCCCAATAAATTAAGTCAGGACTGGGGCAGTAAGCAAATACAGGAGGAAGGAGACAAGGGACACGTGATGGACAACAAACAAGATGATTCTTTTGTGGGGATTTAAGGCACAGGGGTGGGGGAAAGGCGCCATCCCGGTTTGCAATGCCACCCCCAAAATGGTGTCCTACCCGTGCTGTAGTGCTCCAGGCCAGTGGGCACCTCTTGTGTGGCGGGCTCATCCCAGAGCGGGCAGCACGTCCTGGGCTGGCAGCAGGTGGCCTGAAAGTCGCAGGTCACCCAGGGATCCTCGCAGGGGCCACCAGCACCTTGTTTCTGGGAGCAGGAGAGGGAAAAATGTCAGGGGAGCGAAATGGCCGCCCTGTGCAAGGTGGCAGAGCGCTGTTACCCCTCCTCCCCCAAATTCAGGCACAAAGCCCCGAGACGGCAGGGTTTGCTCGGGGGTTTGTGTCGTCCAAACTCACCTGTCTGAGGGGCAGCGCGTTGAGGCCAAAAAGGCCCCTTTTTAAACAAACTGGAGGGAAAAATAATGGAGGCCTGCAGGGAGGCTGTGCTAAGCAAGATGGTGGTGGGGAGGGGGCTCTCCTCAGGGCTGGCCGTGGGGAGGGCACCCTCCATGAGAGGAGGGAATGTTTCAGCCCTTATTTTTCATCAGGCCCCACAGCCCCCAAAAATGTGGGGGCCTGTGAGGAGGTGGGGGGCCCTGGCCCTGGCCCTGGCCAGGGGACAGCCCTGGCACCATGGGGGAGCCTGGCCCATGCTGGTGGGAAGTGGGGCAAGGCGTCCTGTTTATGTTCCTATTCCTATTTATAGCAACGTTATTTGTGGTTACATTCATGTTTACATTTATATTTGCCTTATTCGTGTTTATATTTGTGTTATTTATGTTTATATGTCCATGGACATGCACATATATACATACATACATGTGTATATACACATGTGGTATACACACATGAAGTATATACACATTTATATATTTATATACTCTTCTGTATCATTACATATATATTGCACAATACACTGTATTCTTATATGCTTATGTGTCATATATTATAAATATATACATGCATTGATATGTGTGACATATGCATATATATAACCACACATATGTAACCCTAGGTTATAACTGCCATTATATATTACATATGTTTGGTTTTATTGTATATAAAGTTGTATTTAAACTTTATAAAGAAAATATATGTATTATTTATACAAGCATACAGAAGTATATGAAATTAATCTCTGGATATAATTTTCATTTTATTTTATACATACCCATTTTACATATATACCCATATAAATATGTGTGTATATATATATTTATACCTTATATACATATTTACCTTATATACATATATGTATATATATATATATTTATACCTTATATACATATTTACCTTATATACATATGTGTGTGTATATATATGCCATATAATATATATGGTACATATATGTGTATCTCTTGTATATCATGCACATCATACATATATGTGTATATCTTGTATATGTCTTGTATATAACAAGATATACATACATATGAATAAATCCAGGATGTTTTCAGGCATTATTATTATTATTATTAATTATTATTATTATTATTTCCCTGCAGGGAAATAGTTTTGCTTCATTTCCAATCAATATTTTAAAGCTAAGTGCATGCTCAAAACCCCTTAAAGGAAAAATATCCAGCCGCATTAGAAATATTTCATGTGTCAGAGTGGTGTTTTCTTCCTCATTTGGTGAAAATTTTGCTTTCTAGCAAGGCTTCTGTGCAGGCCAGTGTCTTGGCTCAGAGTTACAGCTTTCATCTGACCAGAAACACTGGCCAGTATTTCTTTGGACAAAGGTATATTAATGTGATTTCTCTAAATTAAGGTCTGATTTCCCTAAATAGAGGTCAAAGCATGGTCAAACCTGTCCAGTAGCCACTGACAGTTGGCACAAGGATGCCCAGGATCCCACTCTAACATATATTATCCATAACCACTCATCAACTGTACATAGAGGAGCTGCCTCAGGAGAGGGAGCACCAAAATTGCCCCAAAAAACCTCCATCCACATCAATCGACCCTTTCCCAGAGCCCGATCCGCTTTGTGCTGGTCCCGCTGCCTCTGTCCCCGGCAGGTGAAGGTCAGTGCAGGGAGTGGAGGCTCCGGGACAATGGAATTGCCCCAAAAAACCTCCATCCACATCAACCGACCCTTTCCCAGAGCACGATCCGCTTTGTGCTGGTCCCGCTGACTCTGTCCCCGGCAGGTGAAGGTCAGTGTGGGGAGTGGAGGCTCCAGGACAATGATTTGCCCAAACAATCACAGAATCACAGGTTGATATGGGGTTGGAAGGGACCTCTGGAGATCATCCAGTCCAACCCCCTGCCAGAGAAGCAGGTCCACCCAGAGCAGGTCCCACAGGAACGTGTCCAGGTGGGGTTTTGAATGTCTCCAGAGAAGGAGACTCCACCACCTCCCTGGGCAGCCTCTTCCAGGGCTCTGCCACCTTCAAAGTCAATAAGTTCCTCCTCATGTTGAGATGGAACTTCTTATGTTCAAGTTTGTGTCCATTTCCTCTTGTCCTGTCACTGGGCACCACTGAAAAAAGCCTGGCCCCATCCTCCTGACACCCACCCTTGAAGTATTTATAGATGTTGATCAGATCCCCCCTCAGCCTTCTCTTCTCCAAAAAGACCCAAGTCCCTCAGCCTCTCCTCGTAAGGGAGATGCTCCAGGCCCCTCATCATCTTTGTAGCCCTCTGCTGTCCCCTCTCCAGCAGTTCCCTGTCCTTCTGGAACTGGGGAGCCCAGAACTGGACCCAGTGCTCCAGATGAGGCCTCCCCAGGGCAGAGCAGAGGGGCAGGATGACCTCCTTCCACCTGCTAGCCACGCTCTTCCTGCCGCCCCCCCAAGATGCCATTGGCCTTCTTGGCCACCAGGGCACATTGCTGACCCATGGGCATCCTGTTGTCCACCAGGACTCCCCCAGGTCTTTCTCCTCAGAGCTGCTCTCCAGCAGGTCACCCCCAACCTGTCCTGGTGCAGGGGGTTATTCCTCCCCAGGTGCAGCACCCTACACTTGCCCATGTTGAATTTCATCAGGTTCCTCTCTGCCCAACTCTCCAGCCTGTCCAGGTCTTGCTGGATGGTGGCACAGCCTTCTGGTGTGTCAACACCCCTCCCAGTCAATCCTACTCCCAGTTCTCTTCCTAGCACATGCAGGAAAAACCCTTGCAGCGACCGCATTGCCCATGGAGGGTTTGCAAGCTCCAGAGGCTCAGGTTAGCACCAGGTAAACACTCAGCATTGGGACATGAAATCTTGGAACCATTTAATGGCCAACGCCGAGCCTTGGCAGCAAATGGGCTGGCAAAGTCACAGCAGCCAGAGAGAAAACTGCAAGGGATGGAAAAATAACCCAAATTCCCTTCTTACCATCACTCCAGGGCGAGGCAAAGGATAAGGGGCTGCGTTGCCGATGGTTGTGTCCATATAGTAACTCATCATCTCAGAGGGGCCTGCAGAAATAGAGATGGACATTAGGGAGGTGTGAAAATTGGTAATATCGGCTAAATCCATGCTTTCTCACAGCCATATACAAGCTAGGACCAGGCTACCAGCTTAATGAGTTTAAGCTGGAGAAGTTTAGAGGAAAACACCTCCGTATGAATAGCAGATATTGTGATTAGACATGTTGTATCAACAATGGGAACGCACAGCTCCGTCAGCGTAAACTGATGAGAGCCTGACAATGGTGAATGAATTATCACCTGGAAGCTGATGGGGCTACTCGGAGGGAAGATGAGATCATATTTCCTTTGCTGTAGAATTGGTGGGAAATTGTTGCCAATTTTATTTTTTTTTTCTATTGACAAAAAGGAAAAAAAAAAAAAAAAGAAGCCAGTTTGTTGAGATCAACACCTTTCCTGTAAAAGTTTTGTCAAAACCAGTCTGTTTCACAAAGAACTTGGCTGTTTTCAAGAGACACCTCCAGCTTTCTCGCAGTGTTCCCCTTGCTGAAGCTCTGCCTTGCATTGCTGGGGCTAATTCCTGAGTAATTAGCAGCCCAGCAATTGCTCATCCCAGCCCCACGGGAGCGGGTCACGGTCTTTCACGTGTCATTCCTTGCACGGGATGGACTCCTGCAAGAAAGTCCTCCTGCCAGTGCTGTCCATGAGATGTGATTTTTGACCATCCATCAGCCCATTTGTGTAGGTGAAGGAGGGGGCACTTGGCTCTGGTTTCAAATATGTGGATGTTTTTCCCCCGGCGGAAAACACAGGGCCAAGGCACTTTCTGTGTTTTGGGGAATATGAGGTAGAGGTGCCGGGTGGGAAGAGTAAAGGGGGAGTAGCTTGGGCTGGGCAGGGCTCGCTCCGACAGGATGTGACTCGGAGCCAAGGGGAATGGCTATTTTCATCGTAATACATGGCCACAGCCTGCGAGATGGAAGAGCTGCTGCTGCTTTAACCTCTCTGAGGACACAGCAGCTCCCCTAAAATACCTCCCTTTGGGTTTCTGCCTCCTCTGCTACCGACAGTAACACTTGTCTGAGATGTCTTGTTCAGCCTGGAGAAGAGAAGGCTCCAGGAAGACCTTCCAGACCCTTCCAGTCCCTCAAGAGGCTCCAGGAAAGCTGGGGAGGGACGCTGGATCAGGGAGGAGAGCCATAGGAGGAGAGGGAAGGGTTTGACACTGAAAGAGGGGACATTGAGAGGAGATCTGGGGAAGAACTTCTTTGGTGTGAGGGTGGTGAGAGCCTGGCCCAGGTTGCCCAGAGAAGCTGCGGCTGCCCCATCCCTGGAGGGTCCAAGACCAGGTTGGAGGGGGCTTGGAGCCACCTGGTCTGGTGGGAGGTGTCCCTGCCCAGGGCAGGGGGGCTGGAACTCGATGATCTTTATGGTCCCTTCCAACACAAACCATTCTATGACTCTGTGATTGTGTAAAAACACAGGCCTAGGTTGTCCAGAGAGGTGGTAGATGCCTCATCCCTGGAAAATTTCCAGGTCAACATGGACGGGGCTCTGAGCAACCTGGTCTAGTTGAAGATGTCCCTGCTTGCTGGAGGGGACTTGATGGTCTTTAAAGGACCCTTCCAACCCAAACCATCTGTGATTCTGTGGTGATTCTGCCTTCTGGACATGGCCAGTGCAACCACGCTACCTTCAGCCTCCACTTCTGCATTTCCACCAACAAATAGCTCCTGGAGGCACAGGGCTCTGCTCCCAGACATCCCTCCACCCCTTCCCTGCTCCAGTGGCCACCAAACATCCAGGCAGTGGCCAGAGCCTGCTCCAGCTGCACCTCACTCACCGCTTCAGCAAAGAGGGGCTCCAGAGAGCATCCCCCACCACGCTCTGTGACAAATGGCCAAATGTGAAACACCTGCACGTGTGCGTGTGCACGCATTAAGTGATTATCATCATTTCCTGCTTGGTGTTACTAACTTTTGCTCTAACACCCGTATTTTTTATGGGTTTTTGTTTTAAAACTTCTCTTTTTAATTCACAAAACTGGAAACTACCCACGCGGTGGCTATTTCTCCCTTGCGCGTTGAGCCACCCCAAAAACACATATATTGCAAGTCGCTGTGGCTGAGAAGCCTTAATTAACCTCAGCATCTCTGCACGCCCTCCCAGCCTGCCCTCACCCGGCCTCAAAACAGGGTTTGCTCCCATCTCCTCGCAGCTGGGTGATACAAAGAAGGTGCGTGGAGCTCATTGCTGCAGTTGGGGTTGGGTTGGGTTTTTTTTGCCTTTGATCAAGAGGCTAAAGCGGCAACAGTTCTCGAGAGCTGCTTTCACGCCTCGCTGAAGGTTGTTTGTGTCTTTCTCCTGATGCCGTTGCCAGCTGAACCTTCCAGCAAAGCACCACACGTTGATGCTCGAAGCAGCATGTGCTTGGGTCATGGGGAGAAGGACTAAACCCATCCTGACACTCGGGACAATGCTTCATGCGGTAAAGAATTGCAGGAATAAAGCAGCACCTGCAACCCTCTCCCCAGCCCTGGCCTGGAAAAGGGGAATTATCATCTCTAGACAGCAGCTCCAACAGACTGAGAGCAAAGAGAGTTTGCTATTCACAGAATCACATGGGGTTGGAAGGGACCTCTGGAGATCATCCAGTCCAACCCCCTGCCAGAGAAGGTCCACCTAGAGCAGGTCCCACAGGAACGTGTCCAGGCAGGTTTGGAATGTCTCCAGAGGAGACTCCACCACCTCCCTGGGCAGCCTCTTCCAGGGCTCTGCTACCTTCAAAGTCAAGAAGTTCTTCCTCCTCAATTCAAGTTTGTGCCCGTTTCCTCTTGTCCTATCCCTGGGCACCACTGAAAAAAGACCATCCCCATCCTCTTGACACCCACCCTTGAAGTATTTATAGGCATTGATCAGATCCCCCCTCAGCCTTCTCTTCTCCAGACTAAGAAGACCCCAGTCCCTCAGCTTCTCCTCGTACAGGAGATGCTCCAGGCTCCTCATCATCTTTGTAGCCCTCTGCTGGACCCTCTCCAGCAGTTCCCTGTGCTTATTTGGTTTGTCTTCCCTCCAACCCACTCTGCTGGACCCTCTCCAGCAGTTGCCTGTGCTTATTCGGTTTGTCTCCCCTCCAACCCTCTGTTAAAAGGCACTCGTGGGGTCAGAAATACAACCTCCATGCCCCCATCAAACCTAAATTCAACTTAAGTCAGCCTGATGCTGGTTTAACAACAGAGAGATGAAGGCTCTGGGCTGCTGAAGGGACCTGGAAGCCAAGCCCTGCTGGAAAAAGGCAGATGAGGCGATTCTGTGTGCAAAATAATCATGCCCTGGAAAAACAGGTATGCAAAGTCCACGACGGGAGGAGGGGTGACAGCAGAGAGGGAGCTCTGGGGTGCTTTGTCCGGGCTAATTTTAACAGAACTTCCACCACTTCCCATAGGAAACTACTTCACAGCCCAATACATCTCTCGCTGTCAGCAAGTTTCCCTGATGTTTGAGCCATATTTTTCTTCTCTCCAGCTTCCTCTAATAAGGGCCTAAATAGTTCCTCTCCTCCCCCTGGATGCCATTAGAAGGCTTTAATGACCGCTCGGGAGCTTGCAGCTGAACTAAATTCAATGATAGCGCTCTTCGTGGCAGGTAACTTGGCCGATATTAAGGAAATCACTGCAGATTTATACCAAGATAATCAAGATCCACGGCCTGCTGAGAGCTGTTAATAAATAGAGGGGAATCAGAGCCATTTGGTAAAATCCTTAATGACTTAACAGCTTGACTTCAGTCTTATTGTTTGCTCTTATTATTCCCATCTTATTGTGAAAACATGTGTGGGAGAAACAGCATTTATTTTGGGACTTGATCAAGTATCAGCCAAAGCTATTAGACTCTTGGGTCATTTCTAAACTAAATTAAAATTTTAATTTCATTTCAGCATCCATCCCTCCTCTTTTACAAGAGGGTTTTTTTGTTGTTTTTTTTTTATAAACGAATTACCAAGCTTAGTTTAAAGAGGGAAAAGCTGTTTGTCCTCATGATTAACACACGCAGAAGTTAAGAAGGAGTGAAAAATATATATTAAGACAAAGCAAAATTGTATCTATTTGATATATGAAGACCCTTTACAGTATTCTTATGCAGTGGTTTTGTATTAGATTGTTTTAAGGATGGGGAAGGGGAAGTGGAGTGAGACCACGGTGACTTTCCCATGGCAGAGTCAAGACCAGCAGCTCCCACCCCTGATTCCCAGTTCAGGGCTCTGTGCTCGGGTCTCCTCTGTCGTAAAATCCTGTGGCTCAGATTGCTCCCTGATCTCCAAGTTGTAGGAAACTTCACCTCCTGCCCATCCCTCATCCTTCAGCCCAAGTAGGGGTGTCACTGCAGCTGCAGAACAGCATTTGGGTGCTTTTCTCCATCCCAATAAGCCGAAGCCAGGAGGATGAGGCAGCACCAGCAACCCCATCACAACATTTCTGACCTCGAGAACGTGAATGAAGACTTGAAAAATGAGAAGCTGCACCTTCAACATGTCCATCCTCCCTGGGCTACCGCGCTGGCAGCTCTCTGGGCCCAAAGCTGCTTAGTGATAGCCATTTTATTTTTGCATCGAGCAATAATTTATCATCTTTGAAGGGGTGGGGGAAACAGCTTGTGGAAATGACATTCTTCCGCAGGGCGTTAACCCTTGAAATCCTGGCATTTTCCAGGCCGCCTGCCAATTCAGTTCTCAGGGGAGGGAGTGTTTGTTGATCTGTTGGCATGTTAAAAACCTCATTCAACCCATCAAACCCTGGCACCAGCTTAAAATAGAAGGAGCATCCCCAAAGCAGGGTTACGAGGGGTAGAAACGAGCACGTTTCTCGTGCTGCCTGTTTCCAAACCATGCTTTTTTAACAGATCGGCCACCTCCTGCCTCCCTTTCCCATCAGGGCATCCCACCTTTGTTAGGATTTTAAAACTTCGCAGCGTTCCCCAAGATAATAACCTGATCTACCGAAGGGAAGGTGGGCAGGGCAGTAAATAAAGATGCTGGGGTAAATAGGGGAATGTAGCAATCACCCTTCTGCACCCGCTGTAAATATGGCGAGAGGTTAAACCCCTTGGCCAAGGTCAGAGGAAGATGATCTGGGATGGATGGCTCAGGAGATAACGCCGGGACAGCTGAGGTTTGGACCAGTCTCATACACACACACACACTAACACCCACCAGCCCTCGTTCTCTGCCCGTCTCTGCTTTCTGTTTCACACTTCTCCGTTACCCTGCCCATTCATCTGTTACTCAGCTGCTATTTTATCATTAATAACGCCACCAAACCTGCAGGGAGTTGACGGGTGATGGCAAAGAGAGGGGTTTCGGGGGGGGGGATATTAAATAAGAGAGGCCGTTAAACCCCACTGCTCTCTCTTGGATCCTCGCAGCTACTTGCTGTTGCAGGAAGATGTGAATAGGTGGGTGGGGTGTTAATTAGGTCATCTGTTATTTGACTCATTAATTCGTGAAATAATAGCCTTACAGCACGTCACAGGCCAGATCCTCAGCTGGGGCAAAGCGAAGGGGGAAAGAACCAGACGAGTTTCCTTCTGTTTGGGAGAGGGAAGGATCTGGCCCCGCAAGGAGCACGCCTTCCCTGTCTCAGAGACCCCAGTCATCGCCCCATGGCAAAGGGGATTTGGCCAGGGATTGGTGGCCCAGCTCTAAGTCTGCGTTTTACTCCAAATTCCATGTGTGACCCACAGCGGGACCAGCCGGGGCTTTGAAAACCCCACTGAGCACCTCTTACATTAAGTACCCAAACCGCTTTATAAAGTTAAGTTGAGTTGCCTTTCATTTCCCTGTGCCTCAGGGAAATAGCCCTGGGGTGTTCCCTGATTTGGGGGCCACACCTGGTACCCCAAAAGCGAAGGGGTGAGGTCCCAATGCACAAAACACCCGACGGGCTCCCACCCAGATCCCAGCCACCAGGTGAGCGGTGCCATTCCCTGCCACCCGAGGAGAAAATGCCCTGGGTAGCCCCCCCCAAAAAAAAAAATCTGGCTTGCCAGAAAGCTGTTTACACGCCAGGCAGGGGTGAGCTTAAAAAAACAGCTGGATTAGTGGCAGCGTGAGCAGGAAACCGCTCCGGACCCAGCCCACAGCCCCCAAAGGTGTCAGTTGACAGCGCAGGATGGGAAGTCAGTGGTAACTGTAATACCAAATGAGTGGCCACATGCAAAGCAATGATTTAGAGACTAATGGGAAGGGGGAAGGCCTTGGGCTGTGCTCCTCGGGGGGCTCCAACCTCCCACCGGCTCTTTTTTGGGCTGGGTGAGGGGTGCAGGATCGTGCCCTTCCCAAGGGATGGCAGCGGCACGTCCCTGCGGCTCCAATTCCTCCCAATTCCTCCCAAAAGCAAACGCTGGCACCTGTGACACTTTGAAACAGCCCCAGCGAACCCCTTTACAAGCATCTCTCCAAAGGCAGGGACCAGCCCCAGTCTGAGGGGTCTGCTCCTTGTCTGTCTGTCTGTCTGTCTGTCCGTCCGCAGGGCTGGAGGGATCATCCAGCCTCACTTCTCCCCCCACCTCAGCACAAAAGCGAGCCAGCCCCCACCCAATCCAAAAAGCAACCCAAAACAGAGAAGGAACTGCAAATTTAATCCACTGGGATCACGCCAAGGCACAGCCTTCTACCTAGATGAGGGAAACAATAATGTTCTCCTAAACGTACATATAAACTTTATATACTCTCTCTATATATAAAAAAGGATTTTTAAAGGGAAGCATCGGCTGAGACATTTATAGACAACCCTGCAGTACTGTTAGCGAGCACATGAACCAGCTACTGGGTGAAACTGGAAATGGAGAGAGTAAAAGTAAATCCCCAGCACAGCAAATCTCAGAGATGTCCTGAAAAGGGACACAGGTACCTCCAACCCACCAAAGTGTTTAAAGCCACTCTCTCCCCCGCCGCCACTTACGACTTCGCTGAAAGACCAGGGGGAAAAGCTGATGTCCTCCACGGCTTCCCACACTTGTCTCCGATCTCTTCCCAACTACCTGGCGTTATCCTCCCGCGCCGGAGCCGGAGAGGATGGAAATACCATAGTGTTTGCAGCAGGGCCGCCTATTCAAAGGGAGGGGGAGTGGTCAGTCCCGCATCCAGGGCGGTGGGGAAGGCGAGCTCCACGCCGCTCACGCTCCGGCCGGGAGAAAAACCCACCTCTGGCAGATGTCATGCCGATGGGTTAAAAAAAAAACAGAAAAAAACCCAACAAAACACCCTTTTGGAGGTGGTTGTGGGGGGCAGCCCCCCCGGTGCGGGGTGCAGGGATGCAGTGGTGGTGGCCTTTGGGTCTGGGCTGCTCCTGAGTCCTGTAAAGTGATCTGAGGCGCCTCAGGGCCCCCCAAAATCCCCGTGAAGTGGAGCTTCTTCTGGCATGGTGGCTAAAAATCAGGCACGGAGAGGGCAGCCAGGGTGAGGGTTTTTCCCAGCCCTGCTCCCCGAACCTCAGCTCAGCTGCCGGCTCTGCCTGGAGGTGCCTGATGCCAGAAACTGCTCCTTCCTCCTAAAAGCTCCCCTGGGCACCTCTGCTTTTCCTGCACCCGGGAATATCCCAGGGCATCTCTGGGCTTTCTGGTACCTGCCTTACCCCCAACCCTGGGAAGGATCCAGCCTGGTACCATACCCTAAAGCCCCTTTTCACATGCCTCTGGTACCAGGCGTGCCAAAAAAACCCCACCCCACAGTAGCTGCTGCTTGCTTTTAAAAGCATAAAAGCTGAAGAAATATCCCCTTACATGTGGCACGGAGAGGGGAGATGCTCGGGCAGCGATAAAAGTGGATGGTCCCAACCTGCATCACCCCAAGGACTTCTTTTAATGCAGATGGTAAAGGAAGCCAGAGTCTCTCGGGAGAGGAGAAGGATGCCAGGACCAGAAGGGCAGGGGAGCATTTTCCAGGCTGGGCAGGAAAAGAAAGGGGGCAGAAATACAGCTTCTCACCCCCAAAACCTCAGTGTAAACTACCCAAATTACCCATTCCACTCTGGGAGAGCAGGACCTGGGGCTGCCCTCTCCTAACACCTCTGCCTCCCACCTCCAAAGCCCCAGATGCTGGCTGCAGGAGGACGTGCCCATCCTGCTCTCACTCTCCAGGCAGCAAAAGTGCCTTTTCCTCCAGGAGAGGGCTCCAGGCTGAAAATCCTCTCTGGCTCCAGCACAGATCCCCATCACGCTGCCCTGGTGAGCATCCGCTCAGGCTGAGCCCCTGCCAGCAGCCCCAGGAGTGGGGCAAAGCCCAGACACCAAGGCTGCTCACGTATGTGCTGCTCTGGGATATTTTATTTATGGGCAAAATGGGAGGCTGGGAAGAGCTGCAAACCGTAATATCACAGCCACAAAGAGGACACAGCCGTGGGACCCACCCCTTATTGCACCGACGCCGACATATTCTGCTTGCCAGGATATCTGGTGGTTTTCAGGGAAGTTTGCAGCATCCTCATGATAAAAAAAAAATGCAGTGTGTACATCTACGTACTGTCCCTGGAAATCCAGGCTGAAGCACTGACCAGTCTAGGGAGAGAAATAATTCCCGGAGAGCTCCTTTCCCAGTCTAAAAATGGGTATTTTTGGATGCTCCAAGCTCAGTGGACATTTGCAAAGTGCAGACCTAAACTGAATTTGCTGTCACGTGAATAATTTCTGCCCCCACGGGGCTTCTGTGGCATCCACTGCTGCCCAGAGAAATCAGGTGTGCAACACTGTAGTGTCCACAGGCAGAAAGGACCCCCCTGTTCTTCACTCCCCCACCCCGGGAGATTGTGCAAATGCACATAGTGACACAAAAAACCACCCCAATATTTCTGCTCATAAAACTATTAACAAGTCCTCCGAGGATTTTCTTGAACTCCTAAGAATGAATCTCTATTTTAGCCATTGCCCTACCTTAGAAACACCCAGCTACAGGTGGCCCAAACACACATTACCTGTTGGACTCCCAGCCGTAAGGCACGGATCGCTCTCGTAGCTCTTTTAAGGCAGGAAATTATTTACAGGGTTCCCATCTTTCCAGCCTCCTGGGCCTTTGGTACAAAGGCTGGGTCACGTCTGAGCGCCAAAGGGGTGGAACGAGTCCAGCAATCAAATTCTGAGCTGGGCAACTCTTCCCCCGGCTGCAAACAAGATGTCCTTCCCCCAGCTGCAGGCTTTGCTCTGCAGCAGATGCTCCTTCTGATAATCTATATATTAATAGCGTTGTGGCTGTCCGACCGTCTGCGGGATGGAGAGGCTTCTGGCTCCTTACGAGGCAGGACGATGTCTGCTGCATGCAGGTCACCTGGCTCCACTCACAGAATATTAGAATCATCGAATCGTTGAGGTTGGAAGGGACTTTTCAGCTCATCGAGTCCAACCATCAACCCAAGGCTGCCCAAACCACCACTGACCCATGTCCCTCAGCACCACGTCTGCCCAGCTTTTAAATACCTCCAGGGATGGTGACTCAACCACTCCCCTCTTCCAACGCTTGTTACTAACCCTTTCAGTGCAAAAATTTTTCCTAATATCTAATCTTGAGGCCGTTTCCTCCTGTCCCAGTGCCTGGTTTTGGGGTCGCTGCTGTCACATCGGTTACCTCAAGCCAGTGGCTTCAGCTCGCAACAAAAAGTTGGGTTCGATTTCGGGCAGTTCATGGAATTTATCATAAAGCCATTGTTGCGCATCGAGAAGTACTTTCCATTCCAGATGGTTTGGATTTTCTTTGTACTCGTAAAAAAATGAAATGATTCCTTAATGTTTAACTGAGGCAGTTATTGATGTTTTTACCGAATCTGAGCTGTCTCGTGGATGTTTCAGGGGTTGTGCACTGGCGGGCTGCTAAAATTTAGGGGCACACGGGCTCCTTCTGGAAGGCGCTGGACATAAGTGTCAGCAGAAATAGCCCCTTTCACAATAATCTAATAAATCCTTCTGGGTGTTTTGCAGCTGGAGGAATGGATGGGAGGATGAGAGAGCATCCCACCACGGGAGAGGGTCAGGGTTTGTACCCTGGAGCTGGGGATCAACAGGGATCACCTGGGCAAAGTTCACCACAGCCAGAGTTCTCTGAGTGTCACTGACTGTCACCTACCACGATCCACCCCCCGCAGCCCCAAATTACTTTCCAGGGAGACATCCTGCAGATTCATGGTCCACTTGAGGACCATAAGCCGCTAAGGGTGAGAAGCTGCATGTAATAAACTTCCACAGCCCTTTACGGGTCTGTAAGTATCATCATTTCCATATTACACTGAAAAAACAGAGTGGGAACTGATCAAATGAGCCTGAGCACCTGAATCTGCTTTCAGCTGGCCTTTTACCTGCTGACCCCTATCCCAGGGAGCAAAGAAAGGGGATTTTGGAGGGTTCCCTTCCCTGCCACCGTTTGCCCGGGGAGAAGGTGACACAGGCAGATCAAGGAGCTGCCTGGGTTTGTAAATATTGTGGCAGGTTTGCCCAGGTTGCAGCAGCGTTCCCTCCGGCCCCTCCTAAAAAACTGAGGCAACGACAGGCAGCCTGTGCCCCAGATGCTTCAGGAATGGTCCACCAAGAGCCCTGCACATCTGGTCTCCAGGTGCCGGGGCTTTTCCGTCTCTGGCTGGCCTCGAAAGCAAACCAGAGGCACCACCAGAGCTCACCCCTTCTTCCCAAGGGCCAGGGACAAACACCCGGTTAACTCCCTCCTTGGATGGAGCCCAAGGGTGCTGCGTGCCCCTTCCAAGTTGAAGGGCAATGTCTGTCCTCAAAAGCAGGAGAATTGGGTTTTTCCATCCCAGGAGCTCAGATCCATCACCTCCAAGACAATGTGACGGATACAGGGTCCATCTTTTAGTGCATCAGGAGCATCCTGAACACTTTAAAACTGGTCCACACGTGGCTTACGTGAGGCTCTGTGAGGTTAGAAGCTGCTACAGTTAAATCTCCTTCATATGGATCGAGTTAATTGCCATAAACTTGCTCGTCCGTGGTTGATCTCACTTCTACAAGGGGTACGAGAAGGCTGCAGAAACGGGCTTTAAATAATGTTGGTGTCTGAAGCTGTTAGACCGGCCTGGGTGTGATAAAACCTGCAGAAACATTCCTTCCTTCAACTCCGAGTTCTCCTTTTCAGTCTATAGACACGACCACAAACACACATGGATACATACATAGATACCCTACGACCCAAAATAACACCAGGTCCCGTCCACATTTTCATTCTGGAAGGGGAAGTGAGAAATTTCCACTCAGCTCTAACTCGGCTGTTAAGCAAACATCTCTGGGGAAGTTCTAGCCATAATATTGCCAGCCTGAGCCCTTAAGATGCAAATTGGTGAATTTTGCCGTGTAAGCACAAAAAAGAATCACTTTTCTACAAGCCAGCGTAAATGTTATCATTTTAATCTCCTTTCTGCAGGTGCCTGTCCCGCTCACACCATTAACAATGCAGGGGAAGGATGTAAATGTTATCATTTTAATCTCCTTTCTGCAGGTGCCTGTCCCACTCACACCATTAACGACGCTCAGGAACTCCTGAAAAAGGTAAATCAATTCTCATTTATGAAAACGTTAACGGGAAAATCAGTCATAATTTACCAGTTCTCCCATTTCAAGAAAAATTGGGCCTGTTTGGCTGGGAGGGGGATCTTTTATTAGACTATCTGATACGCTCAGAAAAAAAAACCAACCAAACAGATCAAAAATTGGGCCTGTTTGGCTGGGAGGGGGATGTTTTATTAGACTATCTGATATGCTCAGAAAAAAAACCAACCAAACAGATCGGGTTTCATCCCACATACCCTCTTCAAATCTGTAAATTAAAATCCTCATCCAAATTCATTTAATCTAGGACTATAAAGGCAGATTTCAGAAGTGCTCTTTTCCCAGGCAAGCATATAAATAAAGATCAGATTTACAAAAATGCTATCAACTAACAATTCTTGCTCGAACACATCTGGCCAGATTTCAAAATGAATTCAGCAGCCAGTTAATCACTTGCTCTTTATTACTTAACTTACTATTAGCATGGGGGTAAAAAAAGAGAGATATTTTTATTTTCTTTTATCTGCTCAA